TGTAAATTTTGAGTGGATAATAATAGAAGAATAAGTGGATAGAGAAGAGAAGTCCTGAGTTATGGGGCCTAATCCCCTAGAAAAGAAGATACTATGATTTTAGGGGGATTCAGCTCAGGAATAAAGCATGTTAACCTCCTTTGCAGACACACTCCTGTTTACGCCCCTGTCTGAGTTATGTGCTCTTCAAACCCCATCTGCTCTTTCTACACTTCAAAAGTTCAAATAAATGTAACATAAAAATGTCGGGTGGATGTTATGAAGGGGTGGGGGGGGGGGGGGAATTGCAAGGTTAGTGAATAGACTAAATGTCCGTATTTTATTCCAATTATTTTTCCATCAGCGCAGCGAGGTTGAATCATTTTAACTCTACATCATCATTCAGATTTCAACATCATTTATTCTCAATTCTCTTCCCCCTTTACCATATTCTTTATAATATATTCTATTCTTTGTATTCTTCATAGTTTTTCTTCTTACCTTTCTTTTTATTGATTCCTTATTCTTTTCTTCCTTATTCTTTAACCTTTTTTCTTATTCTTTGCATTTTTTATCCTTTATTATTATCAAATTCTTATTCTTTATCATTTATTCTTATCAAATTCTTATTCTTTATTCTTTATTATTATCAACGTCTTATTCTTTATCATTTATTCTTATCAACTTCTTATTCTTTATTCTTTATTTTTTTCCTTCTTATTCTTTATTCTTATCCTCATAATTCTTATTCTGTATTCTTTATCCTTCTTTTTATCTTCTAGTCTTCAGTAATTAACCCTTTTGATTCTTATTCTTCATCCTTATTTTTTATCCTTTCGTTATTCTTCCCGTCTTCTATCTTTAATAAACTAACTCTTTTCTTTTCTCCCTTCATCTTCTTTTTTATCCTTCGTTATTCCTTCCTTAACCCTATTTAGCCTAACGTCTGGTTTACTGACTGGCTGTATGGGGGAGGGGGAACCACCCCTATATTTTCTTATTGTAATACAAATCTAACACATTTGATACGGTTTCGGAAAGCCCTTGTGCTCTACTTCAATAATCAAAAATAAATTTTTAAAATCCAAATATTTATTTATTATTTATTAAGCAAAAAATGTGCAAAAAATAATATATTGCTGAAATTGCAACAAATTATACATTTTTGACCCAGCAAATTCCAATGTGCAAAAACATTTGCAAAATTTTTAAAACCTAGATGTGTATTCAAGAAAAACTGAAAATTCCCTGTGAAGGCGTCTGTGCCAAAATATATGCAAAATTTTTTTGCAAAAATTGTGCAATCTGCTTACTTTTTTTATAGGCTTTCCAAAGAGCTATAAAATGTTGAAATCCAATGACTGGAAGTAGGACTAAATATAGATTTATTCTGGCAAAGGTAGTATAAGGCATTTAGGCAGTATGTCTGAGGAATCAGGCAGTGTGCATAAAAGCCCAGGTTTTAACCTTCTGTGAGGGGCGTGTGTTAGTTAAAAAAAGCCAGAAAATTTGAGTTTCCTAGCTCAAATACTTTTTGAGTTATCACAAAAAAACGATAAGGGGTGGGGTAAAACATTTGCAAAATTTTTAAAACCTAGATGTGTATTCAAGAAAAACTGAAAATTCCCTGTGAAGGCGTCTGTGCCAAAATATATGCAAAATTTCTTTGCAAAAATTGTGCAATCTGCTTACTTTTTTATAGGCTTTCCAAAGAGCTATAAAATGTTGAAATCCAATGACTGGAAGTAGGACTAAATATAGATTTATTCTGGCAAAGGTAGTATTAGGCATTTAGGCAGTATATCTGAGGAATCAGGCAGTGTGCATAAAAGCCCAGGTTTTAACCTTCTGTGAGGGGCGTGTGTTAGTTAAAAAAAGCCAGAAATTTGAGCTTCCTAGCTCAAATACTTTTTGAGTTATCGCAAAAAAACGATAAGGGGTGGGGTCAAATTGACCCCTCTCCCCTCCCAGGCCAAAAAGGGTTAACTCTCCCTTTCGTTTCTTTTTCTCCTTCTTCTTTCTCCTTAATTCTTCATTCCGTTATCCGTCTTTACTCTATGTTAATCCTTTATATCTCTAGGCATGCCAATTCTTGAGATAGGTTTTATGAAAGTAATTAATGAGTTCTTTCAATGGAATTTCCTTCGGGATTTTTGACCAGGACATTTGAGAGGGTTGAGGTTCTAGTTATCTAGTTCTCTATAATCAATTCATATTAGATTTTGTTCGTTCAACTAGTACAGGGCTTAAAAACTACAGGGTGTCCCAAACGAATATCAAAGTTGGACATTTCTAGCACCCTTGAAGAGGCAGATAAAATAATATTTGTTTTCATATTAATTTAGATTATATTATTTGCAAGAAAGTTAATTAATTAAATTTATGACTTTTCTGATATTTTTTTTCTAGCGTTGAGCCAATAATGCTACTACTGGCTGCCCCAAACTAATTATTATGTACGGAATGTCCCAAACTACCTTAAACTATTACACGATGTCCCAAACTACCTTAAACTATTACAGGATGTCCCAAACTAACTTATACTATTACAGGAATTCCCAAATTAACTTAAACTATTACAGTATGTCCCAAATTAACTTAAACTACTACACGATATCCCAAATAAACTTAAACTATTTCAGGATGTCCCAAATTAACTTAAACTACTACAGGATATCCCAAATCAACTTAAACTATTACAGGATTTCCCAAATTAACTTAAACTATTACAGGATGTCCCAAATTAACTTAAACTATTACAGGATGTCCCAAATTAACTTAAACTATTACAGGATGTCCCAAATTAACTTAAACTATTACAAGATGTCCCAAATTAACTTAAACTATTACAGGATGTCCCAAATTAACTTAAACTATTACTAAATATCCCAAATTAACTTAAACTATTACAGGATGTCCCAAATTAACTGAAGCTAATGAAGTCCCGAACTATCTTAAATTATTACAAAGTTTTTTAATTTGTTTGTTTCCAGAGTTTTGATCAGACAAACGGAATAAGAATTAAATGCATATCTGAGTTTGTATTGACCTGTATAGTTTAACCTTCCATAAGGAAGTCTTATATTAGTGTATAATGGCATCTTTTCAGGGATAAACTATAATATATTCTTCACATTTTTTCTGAATTCTTTTTCGTCGAAAACTTGAAATTTCAACAACAAAAAATCATTTAAATTCTTAGTTTTTGTTGTTGTAGAAAATATTAAACCCTTGGATAATCTGGATCAAATGAGCATGTAGAGCATGTATTACCAGGGTTTAAAACCTGAAATTTGGGGATTGAAAAAGGGGTGATAAAAAGACAAGGAACTAGGGGGTTTAAAAGGTCGTGGATTATGAATTTAAAAATAAAACAAATGAACAGAATAAAAAAGTGGGTAGTGTGGGTACATTAAAGTTCAACACCTAAGGCAAATAAAGATAAAAGTAAAATGCCTTTATTGCTATAGATGGACATTTTTGGTGTGTTAGACCTATACAACTGTGGAATATAAATACGACATTTAAGCAATCCTATGTGTATTTGATGTTGTCAACATAGTTTTAACTGTAGCTTAAATATCAACGTATGTATTAGGTGAAATGGGTCTGATTTTGTTTCTCTTTGCTACATATTTTTCATGCGTTCCATGCTCATTGTGTGAGAACCAGGAACAGGAAGACAACATTAAAGCAATAATCAAGGTATTTGATGTAGTTACAAAGCAATTAGCTTAATCAAAGGGAGTGTTCGCGAAAATGAAAGAGGGTATAGGCTTACGGCGAAAAATAATCGCTTTTGATCGCTACTAATCTTACTTCTACCTGTTGCGTCTATAAGGAGAAAATTGTTAAAAACGACTATACTGAAGAACGTAGTGATTTACAACGGCACCCTTTAAAACTGATTTACAACGGTACCCTTAAAAGCTCATTTACAACGATACCCTTAAAAGCTTATTTACAACGGTACCCGTAAAAGCTGATTTACAACGATACCCTTAAAAACTTATTTACAACGGCACCCTTAAAAAGTGATTTACAACGGTACCCTTAAAAGCTCATTTACAACGATACCCTTAAATCTTATTTACAACGGTACTCTTAAAAGCTGATTTACAACGATACCCTTAAAAACTTATTTACAACGGCACCCTTAAAAAATGATTTACAACGGTACCCCTAAAAGCTGATTTACAACGATACCCTTAAAAGCTTATTTACAACGGTACTCTTAATTCTGATTTACAATGGTACCCCTACAAGCTGATTTACAACGGTACCCTTAAAAACTGATTACAACGGTACTCTTAAAAGCTGATTTACAACGGTACCATTAAAAGCTTTGTCTGATCAAGTATGAATTTTATATCAATGTTTTTGTTTCTTTAAAGCATTCATTTTCATCTGCGGAATCTCTGCAAAAGTGACATTTTTTAATAGAAGTAATTGAATAAATCACAGAAATAAAATTTAGAGTAAGAATAAACACAGTTTTCCACATTTGTGATGAGATTAAGGTTTGAAGGTTTACCAATTGTAAATAGGGCATTGTCATCTTGGATTAAAGTTATGCTTACTGCAGTCTATATCCACGTAATTGAAGTGTTTCTTCTTTTCAATTTTTAGAGCAGGTACACAATCGATTCACAACTTGTTGATTTTGAATGGCGGTTTCTTCATACAATAAAGTGACTTACAAATTTAAGCAGCAAACACAGAGAAGGAAGTGGACAAAATTACTCTCTTTCAAAGATAAAAAGCTAATAAATTGGACATGTAAGTTTTTTAATAGAGGACCGATTAAAGTTACGTAGACAGTTAAATCGTTTTGGTATTATCTTGGTTAGGGTTTCCGATCGGAATTCCGTTGCGCGGAATTGCGCGCTACTGCAGGGAATTGCTCGCAACTGTTCTGGTATTGCGCGGAATAGTGCGGTTAATTGCGAGAAAATCACAGGGCGAAAATTTAAGCCCTAATTTCTATTTGCAATAATACAGGAAAATTTGAAAAAATAAAATTACGATGTAAAAATAAATTTATTAGAAGATAACGTAATAGAATTTGTATGTAATCTACATGAAAACAATATTAGAAATATAGATCTGGATATTTTACATCTTACATGGATACCAGGATCCACAATCTGGATATCTATATCTTTAATTGTATTTGAAATATCACAAAGACCTGGATATGGATTTGAAAATCTAGAATCTGGATACCAACGAAATTTGTAACTAGGATATTTGTATCCAAAATTGCAAGAACGTTCAATGGATGTAGTTTAAGTATGAGCAAACTACCAAGTATATCAGTAAAAGTTCAAGTTTGAAAAAATTATATTTTCTCGGGGCAGAACACTTCTTGTTTCCATTTAAAAAAAAGTTTGAGATACTCTTTGTATCAAAGTATAAAGTTGATTTTTAAATCAGAAAAAAAGTGAATTTACAATTATAAATTGAGGAATTATTTATGTCATGTCATTCATGACAATAATGGAGTTAGGAGTATGCAGTACACTATTAACAAAACACAAACGTATTGCAGGGATTTATATATGCTCTTAGCAAAGAATATATATTTAATATATTGTTACAATAATGCTGGTTACAAAATATATTCCTTGCGCTGTATGAAAGACAGTGGGGTAACATTCAGAAGGTATTTAGAAACTTATTGTACACTGTACAGTACAGTGTACAGCGCCGTGTAAACTTACAGTGTACATGCCTTATTGTGCTAATATTCTTGTTACAAATATGTAAAAATGGCACAAATTCACCAAAGTTGTTTTTACAGGGTAACTGCACTCTGTACATATCACAAATATATCACCAGGAGAAGAAGAACTGTCCAGCACTGTACCCTGTATACAGTACTGCTGCTTGTGTACGGATGACTGCTGGCCTGCGCTGAGCTGGCGTACAAGTCTCTAGAATCCGGGAGTCGAGATCGCCAGTATTTTGACCAAAATTCTGTCGGCAGAGGAACTAAATCGACGGGAACCTCCTCGATATGCCGTTCTGCAATTCTGAAACAAAACCGATTATTCTTGGTGTTGATTAAAATCAGAATTTCAAAGTTTCCATTGTGATGAATTTTTTGGGTTTTTGTTTTGTATTTTGTATTATTCGATTTGTGTTTGTGTTTTTTGCCTTTAGGGCACAGCATTTTTTAAATGTGTAATTTTGGTGCGGGGGGGGGAGGATGGGCTTTTAAAATCTATAAGTATGTCATTGTAATGGGTATTATTAAGTGCGAAAAAGTTTTTGCCGGGATTTTTACTTTTTCTAGTTAGTTTGTGATTAAAATATAAGTATTTTCACACCGAACTTTTGATTTTATTAATATCTCATTGAAGTCTAATAAATTGAGAATAAAAAATGTTTTGAAGTTCTTTGTTAGTATCTGAGCCCTATGGTTTGAATTTAACATGCTGTTTTATACAGTTTCGTAGAAATAATAAACAATGCCCTTTCTTGTTCGTCTATAAATAATTCAGCTACTGTCTGAGGGTTCATGCATTTTGGGGATGGGANGGGGTTTCTTTGTTATAAATTGTAAATTTTACTAGTACTTTGTTTTTGAAAGTCTTATTTTCTTCTAGCTTTTGTGATTTTAAAACGGTTTTCGTCGTTCTGTCAATCAGTGTTTCTGTCTGCCCGTCTACATGCCTGCCTGTCTCTTGTCTGTCTGTCTGTCTCTTGTCTATCTGTCTATTTGTCTGTCTCTTCGTTTTAAGTTTATTAAGATATCTTCATTTGGGCATTGAGCTATTTTTCTTAATTTTGATATTTCTATTTCCAGTATCTTGGGGCAAAAAATAATGATTTTTTTCATGCTTAACATCCCCCTAAATTCAAGCCAGGTGTTCTGTGTCATCAGTCCCAACCTTCAAAATATTTGGGGGTTTAGGAGAATTAAAAAAACCTGCCTGATCGTATTAATGATTATTACTGCCTGCTAAGGCCTGAAATTCCTAGGCCTGGATTTAACGAGCTAAAATATCTGAATTGACATCTAGAGTCAATCATTCACATTCATGTAGATTTGTGAACACTAGTACAGGAATAGATATAGCACACGGACACAAGAACACACGGGCACTAGAATGCACGGACACTAGAACACACGGGCACTAGAACACACAGACGCTAGAACATTATAACACACGGAAATTACAACACACGGAAATTATAACACACGTAAATTATAACACACGGACACAAGAACACATGGATAGTAGAAAACACGGAAACTAGAACATACGGACACTAAAACACACGGACATTAAAATACATGGACACTAAAACACACGGACACTAAGCACACGGACACTAAAACACACGGACACTGAAACACATGGAAACTAGAACACATGGACACTAGAACACATGGACACTAGACCACACGGACACCAGATCACACGGACACTAGAACACACGGACACTAGAACACACGGACACCAGATCACACGGACACTAGAACATACGGACACTGACACATCCGGAAGCTAGAACAGACGGACATAAAACTAACAGGCACCGAATTTTGAATGCAATTCCAAATTTGTAATTTAAAATGCCACATAGATACTTCAGGAGATGTTTTTGATATAAATAATTACTGAAATACTTCTACCTTAATTCTTATCTAAATAATTGAACGTGTTGATAAGTTTTGCTTAATCAGTTTTTTTTTAACTTTTTTAACAAGTTTAATAGTAAGCACACAGTCCCGAGGTTAAACTGTTAATTAACATTTTTATCCAAAACACATTTATTCATCCTAACTACCCGTCAAATTTCCCAATTGTCTTATTTTGTAGTTTTTTTTTCGTAGAAATTTCTTTTCACCTAATGAGAATATCCATTTTTGATATGCATTAAAACTCAACTTTTTCTCGAACAACCACTTCTTTTGAAAAAAAAATTTTTCAGTTTTTTAAAAAAGTTTTTTTTCCATTGAATTGGCTAAAATAATTGATTTCCGAGGGAAAAAGAATGATTTTTTTTGGGTAAAACGTCTCTAAAAAAATATTAAAAACTTGCCTCTTGAGGTTCCACTTTTCGTTTGTTCCCCAACATAATCCAAAATAAAAATATTGCATTTCAAAAAGCATTCCAGTTACAAAAAATTTTGAAGAAAGCGTTTTATAAGATGAATATCAGATAAAGAAAATTTAAAATCGTTGATTAAAATTTGATATAAACTAGAACGAGAACAGGAAGAGTTTAAAACAAATGGAGAAATCCAAATTAAAATCCAGGTGGTGTAAAATATAAAACAAATTTTTAGAAAATTCAAAAAATTCGGTAACAAAGACATTCTACAATCTTCGCGTCGAAACAGACAGGGCTTAGTATTATATACGCGTTTCTATTTATTTAGGTGTGTAAATTGACGTTGCATGGCACACTGCTAAATCTTTTGACACTTTAAAAATCTTGTTAAAATTTTAAATATTTTCAAATTCTTGCCAGGTGCCCTCCGGCCTAAATTTTAAGCGTAAGTGAAAGGGTGAAACTGTTTCTTACAAAAAATAAACATATGAAAAATTGTTAAAAATAAGAAAAAAGATTGAATTCAGGCTTTCGTAAGACAGATATTTTTATACCAATATTGATAAAAAAAATATTTCAAACAAAACATTGATCAGTAGTTTTAATGTGAAATTAAATAAATACTAAAATCTTTTCCATTTACACATTCCTACTTCACTTTAAGGATTAAAAATTAATTTGAAACTAAATGTGCGAATCCAGGCATGAAAATCCGGGAAATCTATAAAAGTAAAAAAAGTTTTAATTCATCTTTAACGACTTTTTGATTACTTTATTTTGGCTGGTTAAAGTGTTTGTAATTCTAACTTGTAATTATTTCTTTTTCTGAAATGTTTGAATGTCATTTATTCATCATTAAAACTATCCATCAAATCTGCCTGATGTTATCTAATTCTATTGTCCTACACTGTAAATAATAAATATAAAAACCCCGTGGATGAGAAATTACTCCTCGATAACAAAACTATTTCCTTTCTTGTTTTCATCGGACGGTGTAATAAGAAATCCATGTCGAATTTCTGATAACTAAAAACTAATTGATTGACAGCTCAATTCAGCAAGTTAAGCACCTAACATCGAGGCTGAAAAACGTATGGTTGACCATGTTTTTGTTTCAGGAACCGGTTTAGCTGGAGCCCAGGATGGGTGGGCGTACCCAGGACCAGGGACAAGTCCCTCCTCCTCGACTACTATGACTCCATCAGGGACCAAATTCTAAACTTTTTGCAATCTTATTCCCGCATTTTTGTGCCTCAGTTCGTGGATTTAGTCATTATGTTTTTACACTTGAAAATGTCCATCTTGGCCTTCTCAACATTATCCTGTCAAAATTCTGTGTTTCAAGCCAAAGGTGTGCATGGATCATTTTAGCCTTTATCTTCAATTGGAAGATAAGTTTTTCTACTCTTTAAATGTCCTATCTTGCCTTATATGTACATAGGATATTTCTGAATTATGCGTAACAAGGGGTGTGGAAGAGGGGGAGGGGAGGGGGCATCTTTTATTTAGAATTTTTGTCCAGTTTGAGTTCCAACATGGAGGAAACAGTAGAAGATCTGATCCTGATCCAGGTGAAGGTACCGGATATCAATGTTGAGAAAACCCTTCAGTTTTCCAGGTGCTCCCTGATCTGGGAGGCCAAACAGCAGATCCTCGCAGCTTTGCCAAAGGTAGATATCAACATCGAAAACAGCCTCTTCTGTCTTAAAGGGACTGGTACACAAATATGAAGTAATTTTGACATTTTTTAAGTTAAATTTTTTTTTATTTGATGAAATTTCAAATTTCATTATCTGTCCCTTTAAGCCCGCTTTACACATTTTCATACTCACACTGTTACTCACTCGAGCACAATTTTACTTATTGGATAAATTTGAATTTTGCACTCGAATTTTGCAATAAACTTGGGCAAAAATTTAGAAAATTTGCACAATTTTCCACCTGGCGTAATTCAATACAAGAATTTGAATCTATTGGAATTTTTTTTATAAAATAATAATTTACAATATTTTCTCGCAAATACCCCCCCCCCCAAAAAAAAAAANGCTTGTTTCCCCTAGCTGGTCTTAAAAGTAAAATATCCCCCTTATCCGATAGTAAAAATCCCCCCCCCCTTCTCTTGATGTTACATAAAATCCTAAGTATCTTAATTTATTCCATATTTGAAATCTAGTTACAGAGAGTGGACATAGAGGGGCATAGAGAGATATAGAGGGACTTGAAGGACACAGTGGGACTTAGAGGGACACAGTGGGACATAGATGGGCATAGTGGGACATTGTGGTACATAGAGGGGCGTAGAGGGACCTAGAGGACCACAGAGGAGCAAAGATGGACTTGGGACAAAGAGGGACATAGAGGGACATTAAGGGACTTTGAGGGAGTGACAAAGAGGGACATAGAGGACAAATCTGGGCATGGGATATAGATGGAATGGGGGGGGGGTGAAAAAAGATTAATTTCAAGCATTTAAGGAAATAAGAGGAAATGGTGGGAGATCAAATCTTTAGATAAAAGTGATTTTATAATTAATAAGCATTTAACATATTAATTTGAACTTAGCTAGTATGAGGGTAAATTCCCTTATTTGGCGACGCAAGGTGTTTCTGGTAATTGGCATTGTTCAATAGATCTAGTTAAAATTAGGTTTTAATACGGGTACCCTGGTACCTTTACTTATCTTCTGAGGGGTTTAAGGAATTTAGGTTTCAGGCCTCAAGGTTGGCTTGTGGCCTGGGTTAGGCTTAAATTGCAATAATTTTAGGGAAGAGGTGAGTTTTTTTGAAGGAAGCTTAAAAATCCATAATTTTTCATTTCTCCTCTCTATAAATACCTAGTATTTCTACTGACGCATTTTTGACACAGGGTTGAGATAATACAGTGCATTGTCTACGGTCTAGGCCAAATTATAAGGACTGGGGGAGAAATTCTGGGTTTAATTTATTCAAGGCATATCTTATATGTTTAATATATTATATATGCAAAGCAGTATGTACGCCTAGATACGCACTAATCATATTATCTATATCTTAAGAAGAGGGGGAGGGGGG